CCCTCCTCCTTCGTCTCTGTTCAGTCTTTGGGATGCAGATGTGGATCTGGTGCCAGTTCGGGGGGGGAAGTGGATGCTCCTCCTCCTGCTGGTCACCTGGAAGATGCTCCCATTGATCAGGACTATCCTGTGGCAGATTCACCACCTGCTCCACCTCTTGCTCCTGTGCTTTTTTCTCCTGATGCTCCCCTTCCTATCATTCCAGCACCACTTCCTGCTCTCAAAACACGCTCTAGGAATCGCTCTACCACCCTTGAACCAGGTCCATCTGCTACTCGATGCTCTACTTGCACTCGTCGCACCTCTGGGGAATGGTGGAAGGTTAGGACACTGCCTACAGATGATGATGCTCATTCTGACACTGCTGGGAATGCCCCTAATGCTTCTGAAGATACAGAGATGGAACCCATTGTTGAGGACGTGTTTCTGGCTGAAGTCGAGCATGCCCTGTTTACATTTGGTACAGAAAAGGCTGAGCCTTCAACTGCCTCTTGGTACTAGAGAGGAAACAATAGAGACCATATGCTTATCATCTACCTAGACAAGTTTACAATCTTTATTAACCTCGACCCTCTATCTACCATTGCCTATGGTCATGAGCTTGACAGGGTATTACTTGTGTGAATAGACCTCTTTGGGCGAATGATCTAAAGAGCTGAGCAAAGACTATTCTCAAAGAGGTAAGACATCTTTACTTAGACTAAACATGTTTAGACCACTATACATCAAGCCTTTGTGACCCCTATATAAACAGATTCCCCAGCCTAGGGGGCAAGTTGATCTAGCAACAATGACCCCCAAACCTATGAAGGACCACCTTCTATATATTAGGAAAGTACACAAAGGAGGATGTATGCCAATAGTAGTACAAGAGAATCACAAGGAATAAGCTACCTGGCCAACCTAGAACTAGAGTTCATACTGTGTCTAGTCCATTCACATGTGGAATGTAATGCCTGGCCCGGCTTATGGATCTGATCTATATGTTGTTTTTGGCCGTTCTGGTTGATGTGGCATGGATGCTACATGGGTGCCACCTTTGGGACTCAATGATTACTCGCCTCTACAGCTGGGAGCGGCCCTAGAGCCGTTCCCAGAGTGGGTATATTGCTTTCTTTCTCCATTTGGACTGTCTCACCTTGTTTTCACCTTGTTTCACCTTGTTTCAGTTGTTTCACCGGGTTAGCCAGCTGAGGCGGTCCTGTATGATGTCATTGACACTCCGGACCGACCTCCAGATGGAGCTTTTGACCGCTTTGTAAGGTGTTTCACCTGTAATGACCCGTTGATATCATACCTTCCTATTTTGTTTCTTATTGTTCTGTGTAGCTGAAATACCCGTGGTCCGAGGGCGATTATTTCCTCAGACTCTTACTCTCTGGACCACAGTCCTGTCGTTATAGAGCTTCTTTTTGGCACTCTCTCTGTGCCAGTCGCTTCGTTGTCACTGTGCTCAACACTATACATAAGAGAAAATCTTCAGATTACTCAATAAACTCAAACACTAAGTGGCTAACTCCAAGAAATAGAGATTAGACTTAAAAGGATTTAAATGTATGGGATATATTGGAACACTTGGACAAAGACTGGGATTACTACTCAGACAACTATAATAACCTGGACCTACACCATAGACCTAATGAAGGTTATAGTAATTATGAAATTTGGAACTAATCTCATAGATCTAGAGGGTAGAGCTAAAAACTAGAGAGTTGAGAACTCTTAGGTCCAAGAAATGATAATAAAAAGGAGAGGGCTATCTATGTCAATTGTCCACCAAGATATTAAACTAGATATTCATTAAGATGATAAACTAAACAAGGATGTCTGTAATGATAAGAAAAAACTAATGGATAGCCTGCATGTTATTAAACTGTGAAAAGAAAAAAAGGCAGGGGAAGTACCTAACCACATAATATGGGGTTTTGCCCTCTTATTGTCAAGAGGCATTTTAATAAGTGATTGAATATCCCACTAGAATATCTAGTTTTATAGGGCCTTTTCTATATTAGGGGACCCTTGGTTTAACAAATATTTAGGCTAGTATGAAATCTTGACCATCTTGGGTCATAGTAAGATATAATGCATAAAAACTCAGTAAGGTAATGTGAGGCTATCTTCTTAAAAAGAAATAATCCTCTTTTACCTCACTATTAAGGTGTGATAAGTATTTAAATATACCACTTTGGATCCCCAGTTTTACAGGGTTATTTCCACATTAGTAAACCCTACTAATATAAGGTCAAAATAATTATGAGCTATAAAGACAGTAACTCAAAAAGTTATATCTAGAACAATATAAAACTACTGAAGGCTTGGTCTACAATAACTATAAACTAGCTCCTATATCTAAGATAACACTTAAACTACTATTAACCTATGGAGTGTAGTTATATTCTAGTGGGGTGTAAACTTCAAGCATCCACATCATAGAATCCTACTGATAAGTAATCAAAGTACTTTTATATTTCTCTGCTTTTCAGTAAAAGAATATGGGGTTGACCTAGTTTAATTCTAGGTAAGATGTCTAGGAATATGGAAGAGCCAGCATTTCCTTATGAAGTACCTAGTCTAGTCTTAAAGTTGAAGACAATAAATTCTGCTTCAAGACCTAGTCAAGAAGCAACTAGGATATGTGTCTCAAGTCAAGTCTCTAGTTAGCAAGACTAGATCATGGGACTCATAATATCCTCTATGATATTAAACTGGAATTGTTGATTGGATGTTTTAAAGTTCTAAAATAGTTAGTCAGTCCATAATAATATTAAACTATTGTTCTTTTGGAATAGAGATCATGATTTGGGTCCTTGATGAAGATAAGGACACAGATCAGTCTAAAATAATGGTAAACTACTATTTCTTCAAGCATAGGGATTGTGGTTGGTATCCTTGATAGGCTAAGAATGATAACCAGTCTAAGACAACTTTAAACTACAATTATCTATGATGACATTAAACTATAGTCTTTTTTGGAACAGGGACTATGATTAACATCATTGTTAACAATCAATAATGCTAATTAGCCCCAAATAATCTCAAAATACCTTAATCTAGAGGATTAAGCCAGGTAGTTATAAATACCTCTTTATGACATTAAACTAGAAAGAATGTCTTTTATAACATAGTAAACTAGATCACTTTTTATCTAGGGCCATGAGTTACGTCTAAATAAAGCTATATTTTGGCACAACTAATAAGTTATTTGGTTTAATTCAGCATAAACCATTACCATTGTACCTTAGTAAAACCCTTTGAGAAAGAAGACCTGGTTTAGGGCTCTATGCACATAACTAATAAATTGCCTAGTATATAGAAAAATCTCTTGTCTTGACAGGTACTCTATATTAATGATAAAGAAGGTCTAATATAATCTTAGTTAAACTAAAGGAAATTCTCCATTAAAAATAGTTATATCTCTAGTATTCTATAATGATAATTAAACTACTAATTATAGCATTTACAAAGACAATAAACTACAAAAATGTCCAAGACAGTGTTGAAACTATTTAAATTATAAAATATAATCATACAGTGATCCTGAATATTACCATTATGAGAAATTTAGATAGCTATCTAACATCTAAAGGCTTGGAAGCAGCCTATATGAAGCAAGCTCATCATTGACAAGCAGAATGTACTAGAGAAAAAGAATTAGGCTCCTTTTCTAGAGTAGAAAATCCCTTATTAATAAAAGCAAAAGTCTATTCACTTAAATCACATATAAACAAAACATAGATATTCAATCATCTCCTAAACAAGCATAACAAGTCTTGCCAGATCAGATGTCTTGCTAAAATTGAGAACTACTATCAACTATGGAGATCCCCCTTAACAAAGTTCTTGGAAAATTGAATCCTGCCAGAGCAGATATCCTGCTAGTCTTATAAAGATAGCCAGTCCTAAGCCTTTAGTAAACCATTAACCTGTGTATTAATCTATAGACTCCCTCAACTATAGAGCTCTCTCTTGACCCTTGAGAATTATGGAGATGAATATCTTAGAAGCACATGTCTTGTGTCTTAGCATTTGAAGAATGAATATGACTCACAGTTAATACAGCCATCCTTATATTTGATGAGTTTCTAGTCATTAATCAATTTCATAATAATGATACCCTAGACTTAGAGAGGGGGTGGTTTTCCTAGGCATAGGAACCTAAAAAGAGGGTATTGTTATAACTTGCTTTATTGGGTCTCCTTGGGACTGTCTATTATAATAACAAGTCTAACAAGTAGCAAGCAGCTTTACTTAGAGTGGACAACATAGTATATAACTATTGTACTTAGAAGCCAATACCTAACAAATCGCACTTCAAGTTAGATAGGGGATCTATCCTTATAGGCATAGGTACTTAGTTAGCATTGGGCTTAGAAATAATGGGATTCATATACTATCGTATCTTTGTTGGAGGTATATAGATGCATTACAAGAGTTAGTATGTGTGTGTAAGCACACTGTCTTTAAGACTTAGAGAGGATATCTCTAGACATCCATAGGAGCTTCCCCATTTAGTATATAAAGCCCATAGAATAGGCTAAGGTTCTTCAGTCTATTCTCTCCATTCTTTACAGTCTCTACACTATAGCTCTTTTATTTCCTCATATTATCTTATATAGGACTTGTTAAACACACTATTGTCTACTCTTGTATTATTGCCCTAATATAGTCAAGCTTCTACATCCATTCTGTCTACTCATTTAACTAAGGGAAGATCCTACTACTCTTGGGGTTATCAAACAAGCAGTCCATAACACCTTCCCTACCATTCTTTACTAATACTCTCTAGAATATGTACTAGACTTATTGTATATTGAGTCTTTAGTTGGAGCCCTCTTTAAGTTATCTGTTGAATAGGAGAGGAAGACCCCATACCCAAGAATTACCAAGATGCTCTCAAAGACTATCTCCTTTACCACTTTAAAAATAAAGCAGATAAGAACCCTACATTCTTTTTCCAAGCATAAAGATAATCTATTATCTTTATTTGTTAGAGTCTTATATCATAGGACCTTACTAAATAGCCTAGGGAATCCTACAAGTGCTGTTGAGCACAGTGACAATGAAGCAACTGGCACACAGAGAGTGCCAAAAAGAAGCTCCATAATGACAGGACTGTGGTCCAGAGGGTAAGAGTCTGAGTAGATACAAAGAACAGAGGGGAGCGTACCTGTGGTCCAGAGGGTAAGAGTCTGAGGAAAGAATCGCCCTCGGACCACGGGTATTTAAGCTACACAGAACAATAAGAAACAAAAAAGGAAGGTATGACATCAACGGGTCATTACAGGTGAAACACCTTACAAAGCAGTCAAAAGCTCCACCTGGAGCTCAGTCCGGAGTGTCAATGACATCACACAGGACCGCCTTAGCTGGCTAACCTGGTGAAACAACTGAAACAAGGTGAGACAAGGTGAAAACAAAGTGAGACAGTCCAAATGGAGAAAGAAAGCAATATACCCGCTCTAGGAACGGCTGTAGGGCCACTCCCAGCTATAGAGGCAAGTAATCAATGAGTCCCAAAGGTGGCACCTATGTGGCATGGATATCACATCAACCAGAACGGCCACAAACAACAAGTGCATATATGCATATAATAGGTCTTTAAAATAATAATATTTTTTTAAATCTCTTCCTTTGTAAATCCTTTTGATACATACTGTGCTGCTTGTCATAGGTTCTTAAGGCAATTGCTAGCATCTAGGGTATTAGCAATATAGTTTTTGAGCATTAGCTATGATATCTTGGTAGAGTTAATATTAGGTGAAGATAGAGAATATATTAGAGATATAATACTCAGTTTTAACTCAGCAGATTTTACAAGTGGCTTAAATAGGCTAGTGCTCCGTTTTTGACAACAAGTATGAGAACCATCTATTGCTACTCTATTTTATTAAAAAAGTCCTTCAAAGGCCTTTCAAGAACCTATGCAACATATTCTTTTACATCTAAGCCTCTATCTTGTCTTTGGCCCTTCTTACTCATAATTGTAAATGGAAATTTCAGCTTGATCAGCAAACCTTTCATACCATGTGCAATACACCCTTATACTATAATAGATTGATAACTACTTTTAAAGGTTGGATATATATTTTTGAGAAAAAATTCTTTACCTGGTAATCTTATTACTCTTGTGTATTCTTATCTCTCTTCTAACTCAAACTTTATCTCATTGGTTTATATAATCCCATTCTAATCCCTTGTTATATTTTTTTTTGCCCAAATAAGATATTTCTAAATAGCCACTAGTAATAGAAAGGGCTTGCAACAGACAACTTAGCAGTAATAGCTAGCAAAAGTTACTATAGTACAAACTTATTAGAATGTTATATATCCAAACATGCTTAGAAATATTAGAATAAGGGTCCAGACAGTATGTATGAATCTTATAAAGGATCCTGTACTATGTATGCCATCAATGATATGTGACTGGCTAGATTGAAGGAGACTGTGTTGGGTATGAAATTAGTTTTTGTAAATAATAGTATAATAGCATGCTCTAACAAAGATACTAGTTAAGGAAGCAAGTTTTCAATATAAGTATTCAAGATTATGCAAAGCAAGGATTTGACCTCTTGTAAAGGGTATAAAGTTAGTATTTTTAGTAGAAGGCATAAATTTATCAAGACTATTAAGGCTTGGCAATATATATACAAGCTTTATATGATAGTTATCAAACACTTTTCACATATACAAGTATTTTAACTATATGCTCTCAAAATAATAGCTTAGACTATTGTTACAGATCATAACTTTTCAATTATTTTTAATACACTTTTAAAAAAGAATCTTAATGCTTGCTGAATTGTTGTTGAGTTTGACATAATTGATATGGAAGGTTATTTTTGCCCCAGAGTATATTAATTGTTTTTTTATCCATGATAGTGTTAATATTATTTTTAAGGCATAAGTATCATTTGACTTACACTTAAACTCAGCATATAAGGAATTAATACATAGCACTCAGATATATCTTGTTTAGCACCTTTTTATTCTATTTATAACTATAAGTAGGCTCTAAGCATAAATAGCTTTAGCACGAAAGTGTGGTTACATGAGTTTATTATTTAATCCTTATAGAACAAGTATCTATATAGTACACATACTAGCAAAAGTATTGGGCCAGACTTGTACTATATTGCTCTAAATAGAAAGCATATTAGATTAACTAACTTTAAACTTAAGGCATAGATAGCCACAATTGTAAGTTATCTTATTTCTATCTATTATTTATTTATTATAGGCCACTCATAACTGTATAAAACATGAACCTTCAAATATGGCAATATTTGATAGCACATGAGATGATTATATAGCAACTAATAGACTATACAAATAGTTGGACCCTTATTAGGCAATAGCAATAGCTTCCAGCACTTAGCCAAACAATATAATGGTGCTGATAATGGCTATTATTATTAGTACCCTCAATTGTAAATGAGGTTGTACTTTCTTACTTTTACTCTAAAGCATACCTTATATTCCAACTTGTATTCATCTAGAAAACCACCCCTTTGTATTAAGCTCTAATTAGTTCTATTTATGCATAATTAAGAATGATTAGGATTAGACATTTTTAGCTTACCCCCCCTCTAAACCTGTTCTAATTAGACATAATTTACCTAAATTAGGAATTATTAGGATTGATTATAACTTGAAATTTCGGAAAAATCATAATAAATCAAGCATCACAGTTCTCATAGCCTTCTTATAGAGTCATGTCTATTAGAGCACTAGTTCAATACCTAAACACAGAATATACCTTATAACAAACTTGCCTTCTACCAGAATTGAACCAACAACCTCATGTATGCAAGCACCTAGGACAGATGCTCTAAGCCACTAAGCCACAAGGTCTAAGATATAAACTTGGTAATCTAAATAAGTAGACATAATATAGGCAACCTCAACATCTTTGATTTTATTTAACATCTATCTTTTCTCTATCGAATAAATAAACAGGTCAATAAATACCTAAAAAGTCAGGTCTTTCAGGTTTTAGTTTAAACACCAGCCAAGAAAATAATAAACCAATGGAAAATTGATAATACATTTTATATAGGATAAAAATAAATTATGGCACTAATACAATTTGGACTAAGAATGTGTAAAACTATGATTGAGTGTAATATTCAATGGGACTCTACCAGTATAGACAATGCTACCTGAATTTGCAAATTTGATCAAAAACATGATTATAAATAATTAAGATCCAATAAGAGAGAAGGGTTTCCAAATAGCTACTAGTGAGGTAGAGGGTGGGGACAAGGGTATATGTATAGCATGCCTATATATAAATAAGCACAAGATTGTTGGAGGTGATATTAATATGCTTAATGCATATATTTCCTATATGGCAGGCAAATATATCATTCTGGCACCACATACCAATATGACTGTCTTTTCCACAGCCTAATAGCTAGGGGAAAATACCAAGTTTGAGCATCTTCTGTATAACAAGGCAATAAACAATATAAATAGTGCTAAAAATTGTAATATCAATAGTGATGATAATTGTGTGCTGCACAAGACAGTATTAGCCACTATACTAATATACAAGGTCTATAAGGCTGCAAGGTCTATAAGGCTGCATATAGTATATCCCTAAGTCTAACCCACATGTTGTGTCCTATAATGACCAGTAGCAGGCATTGGCTAACAATGACAACTTTAATAATCTTGTGTGCAAGGACAAGGTACCTAGGTCTTCATAGCCTCCTGTGGCAGCTGCCAAGCTGCCAACAAAGTGGCTGGGGGCATCAATGCACATTTTTCTCTTTTGATATCCCTTATAAAAGCAGCTGGAAAGTCAGCAAAAGAGCTACAAGATAATGGTATAGGCATATATGAAGGAGAGTAATATGCTGAAATAGTATAGAATGTGCCACATTTTTACCTTCTCACTAATAGAGCAGTAGTACTTACTATTTCCTACTAATAATTAAAGACTTCTTAGTATAGAATTAGTGCTAATATTATGAAATTAGAAACCAATCCAATGCTCATAATGTGTTGCTCCCAATTAGGAAATTAAATACTTTTAGATACTATTAACACTTTTAGATACTTTTAGACACTATTAAATATAATCCGGAGCTAATACAAGGGGGTGTTTTTCCAGATGTTAAAGTAGCCTTAACCCTATTATTATTTCTTTTGCCTTATAGCTATGAATTTTGTAGTTGTCTTATCTATTTTTTAGATAAAAAAGGCACCAATATAGTATATTACAAGGATGCTTTATCTATGCTTGAGTTTACATCTAACATTATCCCTTATATTCCATATTTGACATTATACAAGATTACTAGTATTATTGAGGATAGTATTATAAAGTTTCAGTATTTTTGTATAAAGTGGTATTCTTGTTTAGAAAAGAAAAGAACATATTACTTAGATAAGTATTGTCATGTTGACTGATTCTTATGCTACTTACCTATATATATACAACTATAGACCTTTTAAACTCTAAAAGAATAGCCACAATTTTTAACCTAATCTTTCACAGCCTCTCAAGAAACTAATACAACAACTTGCTATATTACTCATAATCTAATCTTTGGTAACACTATCTCTAACTTGTGGTATTGCAGCTAGGCCTTGATAGTATATAATGTTTGCTTAATAGGGCTAAAGTTAGGAAAATATAGCAATAAATAGATTATTTTGTACCTAGGGTATTCATAAACTTAGGATAGCTATGGGTTGAGATGCCAAAACATACCACAGTTATCTTCAATAATTTAACATACCTTTTTATTATAGTAAATTGCATAGTTGCCTAGGATAACAATACTATATGGACTAGAATATAGTATGAGTTGTAAAGCCTGTGAATACAATTCAAACTTGAGGGAAGTAAGATACACAATGTCATTTTCCAAGAATTTAATAAATCTCTCTTTCTTTACTGAGCCTTTAAAAATATTGAGTATAATAATGCTATTGGTAGTCAGTGCAAAAAAGACTAAGTATCTCTAGCCCCAAATAAATATCGCCCATTAAACACAAGCCTAGCCTAAGCCAGCCTATTTTCTAGTATGCCAATTTGTGTAATTGTCAACACTTAACTTATCTAGCTAGACAAAATACTCTGCCAAAATGCTTCCATATTTGCCCTACTATATTAAGTGGACCAGCTTATTACAAGACCCCTCTTCATCTAGCCAAATATATAATACAAAAAATACTTTATCACCATTTGATTTTGGGGACCTGTGGTGCACTCCTACTACTGTAACTATATTAGACCTTACAAAAATAGCATTTGCCTACCAGAAATGGGATTATTTATCTAGAAAAACAAGAAAAATTCCACAAAATTCCACAAAAATTTGCACAGTCCCACAATTGCTCTTTCATAAGCTTCAATAGTGCCCAAGCCATCAAAGCATCAATTTAGAATTCCTTTTATGTAAATGCTACAAAATATTAAGAGTGTATAAAGCTACGAATAAAGCCAATGAGATTGAGTATAGTAATGTAGGCATTAAACAGAAGACTATAATAATGAGCCTATTGTCAAAGTCTATTTCTTAATAGTAGTTGAATTTCTGATTTTTTTTTTCAAAAGTAGATAGATTGGTACAATATATTACTTTTGCTTTATAAAGACCCAATTATGACTACCAGATCCATATTATATCCTCCAAAAAAGAGTTAAAACTACTAGGGAGAGGAATCAGTTCTCAAACAAAATTTAGGATCTTGAACTACTAGAAAAAATAAGAGCTTAGGCACTGCACACTCTTGCACTACTATGGGAAAATAATACATTTGGCTGGATATACAGGGGTCCTCTTATTATATTTATTAGCCTGTCTCAAGATTGTCTTATATACTATTAATATGGTTTATATAGTATATAAGATTGTTGGGACAGAAACATTGATCTAATAGTAAAAAAAGAGTTAGTATTAGATTTTATTAAGGTATAGGCCTAATTAAGCCACTAATAAAGAAGATATATAGGTTAGATTGCTTTAATCAAGTGTCCTTGGCCACCCTTATACCAAAGTGAATGACTTGTATATAACACTATAGTTATGATAGAAGTTAAGTATAATATAAATAGTTTACTATAAGCATGCAGCTAGCTATGTATACTACTTATCAATAGCCCTTTCTTGATTGTGGTACTAGTTGACACTGAGCTCTTATTATTTGGTAGATAAGATAGGGGCTATGATAAATAGTATGTCTGCAACACTATTGTAGCTACTACCCGCTCTATGGGCAAAGTTGCTCTATGTGTTGCTTTATCTGGGATTGCTTCTTTGCTTTTAGATGGCGGATATACTGCACACTCATGTTTTCACATTCCAATCCCTATTCATAAAGCTTCCACTTGCAGGATCCAGAAAAATTCAGACCTTCATGATGTACTTTGCCAAACTGGTATCATTATTTGGAATGAAGCACCAATGCAGCACCGACATGCTATTGAGGCTTTGGACCATATGCTACAAGACTTGATGGAAAATGCATAGCCTTTTGGAGGAATTACCATGTTGTTTGGTGGAGACTTCCAACAGGTCCTTCCAGTGGTTTCTTAAGGGTCTAGGGAACAGATTATCAATGCCTCTCTTTGCCACTCACATTTATGGAGCTTAGTCCATTTGTATCATTTAACCCAGAATATGTGTTTGGATCAAACTCTAAAAAGTCAAGAATTTGCAAACTGGCTTTTAGAGATTGGCGTAGGTTAAAATCTCCCAGAAGATAAGTCAATCTCTCTTCCACAAAATTTGTGGTTGGAGCAAAACATATTGAAGTCATTGATCCATTATCTTTACCCAGATATCCAAGTAAGACCAAAGCCAGATGGATATTTCCAGGAGTGCACCATTCCCTCAATAACCAATAATATAGTGGATGAGATCAACCATGATATCTTGGCAAAGTTTCCTAGAAAAGAATCTATGTTGATGTCAGTGGATAAGGTGGTTGGGATCACATAGGATTACCCTATGGAATACCTTAACTCTCTCAATGTCTTAGGATTGCCACTTGCACATCTCAAACTCAAACCTGGCTGTCCTCTTATGATTTTGCGGAATATTGACCAGCCCAGTGGTCTCTGCAAGAGAACATGGATGATCCTTACAGACATTAGGCCTCGTGTTTTACAATGCCAGATCTTAGGTGGAAAGCATGCTGGGGAGACTGCATTTATTCCTAGACTTACCATTGAACCATCAGCAGAAGACATGCCTATTCCTTTCTCTTGCTGTCAATTCCCCATTCAACTTGTATTTGCCATGACCATCAATAAAGCCTAAAACCAATCTATTTCAAATGTTGGTATCAACCTATGTAGTTTGGTGTTTTTACATGGCCAACTTTACGTTGCATTATCACGTTGCACATCCAGTGAGAGGATCAAAGTCTTATTCCCCAAGGAATGTGGGGATACAAAGACTACAAACATTGTCTATCCTAAAGTCTTGGCAAACCTGATTTAATATTTGGCAAGTTCAAGCTCTATCAACTCTTATTCTTAGAGATTGACCAAGAATTTCTTTCTTAGATGTAACCTCTCCCCTCAAAATCTCAAATCTCTCAACAAAGCTTCAAAAGTTCTCAATGGTATGTGCCAAATCATTCAAAATTCTAATACTTATTTGCTTTCTTAGAAGAACACCCTCAAGGCTCTAGCTCTCAATTTTACTTTACTATTTCTCCTGATTTGTTATTTGTTTGTTTACAAAAATGCTCTACAATGTAAAATGTGCTTGCACTTAATCTTGATGATCTCACTGGACATTAACTTTAGGGCTGGCTTCTATTCACTTAAGGCAAACTCCAAAAGTATCAAAATAAACCTTAACCCCATAAAACTAATATTAAGCACTGTGCAAGAGTTACAAAGCGACGGGTCAGAACTTGTAAGAAGGTAGGTGAAATGTCCATATGAGCTCCAAAGGTAATAAGGTAAAAGTTAATCAGCAATGGCAAAATCCTGAATGTTCAGGATCTGTTATCTGAGTGTAGGTAGCAGAAACAGGTATTGGTAAGCCAATAAAAATAAAGAAAAAGTAACATATAACCAGGGTGGCCAAGTAATAGTGCAAGATTGCATTTGAGCAACTATGTGGAAGTTGGGAAGATAAGCAATAAGGACCAACTAACTCATGGAGGACATCAGCCAACACAAAATACTGGCTCTGATCTCATAAAAATTTATTGTAATACTCTTGTGTGGTTATGGTAAGTATATGAAGTATGGGTGAACTGACCCAAGTGTTGCCAAATGTCCTTCAGTAGGTTATGGTTAGTTGGGTAGGAACCAACTGTGTTTCGTGCAAGTTGGCATCCTTAATACTTGTCTAGCACTATTTGGTATTTCCCAAAAGCTTCCCAAATACCTCCCTCAGACCCTAGTATGGGTGCATGCTTATCAATGACAAACAGTTATCAATAACTTCAATACTCAGGAAACCTCTGCTGACTGAAGTCTATTTGGAGACGCCAATATAGTCCCAGAACATTTATCCCACCATCACTATTTTGATCTCAAATCCTTGCCATTGCTCTTGCTGCCACCCAACTCTACTTTCTTTCTAATCCCACCGTCATTGCCAAACTAATCACTATTCCTACCAATTTCCCCCATCCTTGATCTTATGCTCTTAGAACAATCACCCCTATCTCCTATACCATCTCTCTATGACTCCATCTTGCTATTAATTCTATGTAGCCCTGTCTTCTGGATGCCAACCATCTAACCAACTTTACTAGAATGCTCTTTCAAACTAGCGACCCCATCCCCAATCACCTTAGCAAACAATACCTTCTCCCCCACCTTTGACTTTCTCACTATGGCAACCTTATCCATGCCTACTTGTGGAAACCAAATGGCCCCAATCTTTGACCCTCATCAACCTTGTGGACTAAGATGGTATTTTGCTGATCTGGACTTCCACTTTGTTTGGTCTACAATAGTGGATGAACAAGAAAGGAAGAAACACACTTGCTGATTCCTAGACATTAACACCTATAAGCTTTGGGAATTGCTCACCACTTTTACTGACAATACAAAGACATTCAAGGACTTTTGTGAAGAGACATACAGACTGTACCCCAGATCAGAGGAAGAATGCAAATAGTCAGTGTCAAATATAGACAAGCTAGTCAGCAAAATGAGCAGGATTAGCATCTTGTCTCTCAGTAAGCTCGGTGACTATCATTAGTAATTCCTAGTGATCATGGTATTTCTCCTCAGCAAGGCACAAATTTCAATCGCTGAACAAGGATGTGCCTTTGCTAAAGGATTCCAGCCAGAGCTATGGGCAATAATCTCTCAGCACTTACAACTCAAGTTTCCCAATCATTTCCTAGATGATCTATATAATCTCCTAGATATCCATGACATGGCCCAATTCATCTTGTATGGCACCACAGCTGCCTACAGCACTACCCCTACCAACATTTCTCAAGCAACCCTTGCTGTGCCACCCACTAATGCAATCAAGGCCAAAGATCTGGTGACCATGTTCGAATGGCTTACCAATAAGGCCATTGCAGTTCAGGGGATGTCTAGGCTAGCCAATTGACTATCCCAACAGCCAGGACAAGGCAGTGACAACTGCATGTTCTGTGGCAGTCCCAAATATTTTATGTGCATCTGTCCCAAGGTTACTGAATATATTCAGATTGGCAAATGCAAGCAGAATATTGAGGGGAAGGTTGTATTGTTAAGCAGGGCATTTGTACCCAGAGAAATCATGGGTGGTAACCTGAAGGACTAAGTTGACAAATAGCATTGTAGGAATTCAGGCCAGTTGGTGACTGGACAAATGATGTTTATGGTAAATGTGGCACCAACTTACCTAATGACAATAGCCTCCTATCACAATTCACCCTTATTGCTGGATGTCACCCTGACTTACTAACTCACCAATGTCTAGCAAATTGCAAGTCTCAAACACAAACTATTTGCACTTCAAACATGGGGTGCAAAAGCACGTGAAATGGCACAGACAGGATGTTCAGCACTTACCCCTTCACCAGTCTCTGAATAATAAGCAATGACTAAAACTCCTAAACCCAAAACCTAACCAACCACCCTGACTCAGTGACTGTCCCTGGTATCAGCCAAGGATGATGCTCTGATCTACTCATATGCCAAAGCCTAGAACACCACCTATGCACTACCACATGAATGCAATATGGGAGCCCCAGTAAAGATACCCTCGGCAAAGAAAAATACTCTGGCCTACAAAACTATAGCACTGATCTATGACAAGAAAATAGTAGCTAAGGTCTACAACAAGGTAATGGCCACTTAGGTAATGCTTACCTAGTGCAAACTACTCTCTCTCTCTGCTGAAGTCTATTCACAGGTTAGGAAAGCTATGTCAGCATGCCAATCATCTGCCAAAGATGCCAACAATGTTTAGACCTTCTACCAAGATGCCAATCTACCCTATACCATCAATAACCTCAAACTACTAACTCAACAGACCATCTCCTTCTTCATCAATATCCTGCACCAACTGAAAATATCTCCACCTAGTACGATCATCATCTTTGGCATATACAAAACATATCTGAAAAATCTACAGCCCAGTCAGGTTCCTCAGCCATTGATAGTCGCTAAAGAGTCATCTGCCCTAAGGCCCATTATTTTCCTTGTCAATCATCAGCAGAAAGTTGAATGCACTATCAATCTGGGTTCACAAGTCATCACCATGTTGGAAGGCATTTGCAACAAATTAGCACTCATCTACAACCCTAAAATCATTCTTAATATACAGTTGGCAAACAGCAAAATTAACCGATCCTTGGGCCTGGCATGTAACATTCCATTCCTCATCAGTGACATTATCTTGTATCTCCAAGTCTATGTCATTCAGAACCCAGCCTATAATGTTCTCCTCTGTTGCCCCTTTGACATCCTCACCAAAAATATTGTCAAGAATTATTTGAATGAAGACCAGACAATTGCCATCAGTGACCTGAATATGGGACAATAAGCCATCATTCTGATAATTAGGCGAGGACCCCCTCGAGTTTTCCACTGAAGACAAGCAGGTTTTTGTGACTTAATAAATTGATCCAAGATCAAGGAGAAGTTGCACTGATTATTTCCACTGATTATGATATCCCTAATTTCCCACTTATCAAAGCATTCTCAGATTTCCATTTTTCATTTCTCTTTTGTCACAATCTTTGTCTCAAGTATATTATGTCCTCTGATTTGGGGCCCAAGAATTATCTTAAAAACAATCTTGATTTTGATATGTCATCCTTCTTTTCCTTAGTTATTCTCAGTTCTCTCTATTCCACTAATATCACCAACCCGGTTGCTATCTTCACCACCAAGTACAAGTACAAACCAGTCACACAGAAAACATGACCAGTTTTGGCTGACCTCCCTGAAAAGTTCTGAATTGTTTGGAATATCATCGGTGACCCTTTCACTGCCCTTCTAGCACTAACACTAAACCCTCCACTATTTATTCTGACTAGCAGATACACCACCAAATAATGCAATCTCATTGACAAAGTCCACTTAGGCAACTTTCTTTGGCTGGCCAAACAATAGGTCATGCATCATTTCATGTATTTATAAGGGATAGGATTTACCTGGGATGATTTGGAATACAGACGTTTTTGTGAGAACTTCTTCCCCCCAGTCAATATGCTGGTAGTTAAACACAAGCCCTAGGTTCAGTGCAACATCCTGATTCTGCTAGGCATCTATGACGAAGTGTGTTGACTTATCAAAACTAAGATCACTGCTAGAGTCTATGAGTCATTGAATTCTTCCTACCAATTGTGCTGGTTTATTGTCATCAAGAAGAAAAATAGCACCTCTACTGGCACCAAACTCCAAATCATTCACAGCCTTGAACCCCTGAATGCAGTCACCATCCTATTATTTAGGTGTGCCACTATATAATGATCAGATCGCTGAATAGTTTGTAGCTCACACATGCAGTGGCATTCTGGATCTCTATGTTAGATACAATGAATAAGGGCTCACCAAACCATCTCACAACTTTACCACATTCCAGACCCCATTCAGTGCCCACCAACTTATTACCCTGCCCATGGGATGGATAAATTTAGTACCTATCTTTCATAATAATGTTACCCACATTTTCTAGCCAGAGATCCCAAACACCACTATTGCTTTCATCAGCAACATCCTAATTTGTGGTCCACTAACTTGATATGAACTCCTAAATGGTGGCTTTGAGACTCACCCTGATAACTTCAGCATCAAGTGATTTATGTGGGAATACTCTCAAGGCCTCAATTGGGTGGTTCAGTGGATGAAGTACAGTAGAGGAACATTTTTGGGACACAAGATGACACTCTGCATGGCCAAAATCATGGTGGTCAGCCATTGTTGCATATACAAAGGAAGGTTACTAGATAAATTGAGGGTAGAATCAATTATGAAGTAGGGACCCTGCAGGGATCTCTTTGATGCTTGGGGATTTTGGGGGATAATTAGTATTGTTTGGATCTTCATTTGGAATTTTGCACACAAAGTGCATGCACTGAATATATTAATATACAAGGATTTTCCATTTATATTTGGCCTAGACCAGATAGTGGCCCAGGATAACCTCTAGTCAGTGCTTCTCAAATTGCCAGCCCTTTAACCAATTGACTATGGATCGGCAGGTAATGTTATTCTCACTGTCAATACCTTACAAATTGCAGTTGGCTTCTATCTCTGTCAATGTGCACTCGACAATTCCCAGGTTTGGTACTATGCTCAATTTAGCTCCATCCCACTGAATGACTGCGAATCACAATTCTTCCAGCCCAAGCTCAAACTCTATGGCCTCTTCTATGCCCTTTAATCGCTCAAAATGTATCTTATTGGCGTTCGGAACCTGATAGTTGAAGTAGATGCACACTACATCAAGGGCATACTTACTAACCCAGATCTCAAACCCAGTGCCAGTATCAATTGGTGGATTGTCTCTATCCTCACCTTCTATTTTACACTTGTACATGTCCCTGGCATCTCTCATAGCCCTGATGGTCTCTCCCAATGACCACCATAACCCTCCGATCAATCTGAAGCCAAAGACAACTTTAACAACTGGATCAATAATCTCTATGGCTTTCTTCATCAGATCAACAATACATTTCCCATCTCTAACCCAAACTCAACCACTGCCATCTTCACCACCTCATAGGTGACTTGTCGAGCGATACCAACTTTAATGATGAAGGCCTGACCATTAACTATTTTGACATCCCAAGATTGCAGAAAGCTTTGGAAGCTGAAGAACACCTATGGTTGGTCCGCAACTGGCACTAAACATTGGTTTGGCCCTTTTTTTTCTCCGACTCTAAATATGCCACCTCTCTACAATATTGCACTGAGTTTTTCTTGCCACTGACAAGCTATGGGGAAAAGACTCACACGGTCAACACAAGATTGTTGCAGCCCTCTCTAGTCAGATCACAATTCTCACTGCTGCCCATGACAACATTGTTCACAAGAGTTTCTATGCCATGACTGCCTTGGTTACTGCACATGAGACAAGATATTTCCTGGTTTGTTCAGACATGTCACCTTTGCCAGATTCATCAAACTCATAATGTTCTCATTCCCCCAACTATTGCCACACCTGCACCACTCTTTGCAAAGATGTATATGGACACCATGTACATGCTGACCACTGGTGGTTTTAAGTATCTTGTTCAAGGTCACTGTTCAGTATTGCACTACCCCAAATTCCACATGCTGCAATATAAAACAAGCTCCATACTTGCTAACTGGATCTTTGAGGATATCCTGTGCCAATGGGAAACACTAGTAGAGATTGTCTCTGACAATAAACCAGCATTTGTCAAGGTGCTTAACTAGCTAGCAAAGAAGTACCATATTTGGCACATCTGTATTTTGGGCTATAATTCCTGTGCCAACAACATTGCCAAATGGCCTTACTTTGATGTTTGGCAGGCTCTGTTCAAGGCTATTGATGGAGACCAGGCCAAGTGGAATTGTGTAGCTTATTTTATATTCTGGGCTGATCGCATTACTGTTTAGCACTGAATGGGCTGTTTCCCATACTTTGCAGCTGCTGGTACCCATCCCCTTCTTTTACTTGATATTGCCGAAGCCACCTGTCTTCTGCCACTACCAACAGTAACTCTCAGCACCACCAAACTTATTGCCCAATATGCCATTACCTTATAAAAACACTGGTTGGATCTTGCCCACCTTCACAGCTTAGTAGTCAGTGCCCAAGTCCAGGCCACCATCTGATTTGAACAGCAACATTTGGCTACCCTTTGCAACTTCAATTTTCACTAAGGCTTACTTGTCCTGATGCACAACACAGCCATAGAAAAGGTGCTCAATCAGAGGATGCGACCCACGGTACTTAGGACCATTGCTGGTAATTTCTAGGAACTAGGGGGGAGTATATATTTTGGCTGAACTTGACAGATTGGTCTTTGATTGGCCAGTAGCAGCATTCTGTGTTATTCCTTATTTTGCTCATAGGTTTCTGAAGCTCACTGACCTCGAAACCCTCCTTGACATCTCACAAGGACACCTTTAGGCTATGGAAGAATCCTGATTAAGTGATGATGACACCAAAGACAACAATGCCAATAAAGATACTAATACTAGCTTAGTCTGATTAGTGGAGGACAACAATGCGGCTTTGGTAATCCCCGATTAGATTCCACTCTCCTATCCTTTGCTCTTTTTGGTTGGTGACTAGAGACAGTCATGATTTCAATAGGGAGAAGGATTCACAGATATACCCATTCCTTATTCCGATTCATTTGTCACAGACATAGACTGACACTCAATTATTTCCATATCTCTTAGTACTTTTGCCACCAACCAATTGCCAACCAAATAGTCAGCCCTTATTTTCCCCATCATTCTATCAAGTACCAAGCTGTATTGAAGACTTCTTCCAATTTGCACAAAACCATAGGGTTTTATGCCTGTGATGACATACTGAGGCTTCCCCTAATATTCCAATTTATTTTCTTTATTTCTACTAAATGCTTTACTTACAAGTACATTCACACACAGTCATTTTACTGACCAATTTCCTCAATGATGCCTCTGGTCTAAGCCAAACATCTCATTTAACTCAGGACAGTCTTTTTACTGTTATATTATATTTTACTATACTATAAAATTATTGAAACTATTCTACTCATTGGGTACAAAATCACCCAACACAGACATATCCAAATCCTCTGCTGCTGATAAATCCTCAACCAAGATGACATCCAAAGATATAGATGGACCTGCCACATCTTGATTGACCATGCCAACAAAGCTCACATATCCTTGGCCACAGCGATCCAGTACCAAAGATTGGATATGATGCCTCGAATAACAATTGATGACAAATGAGACAAGTCAGACAGGGTGGGGACAGCAGCAGAATAGGAGCAGGAGCAGGAGGGAACAGCATAGGTAGTAGTAGAAAAGCACTAGATAGGCTTTTAAGCCTGCATACCTGAGACAACCTAATGAGCTCTTATTCCAGTATAATCAAACTGGTACTCACCTCTGGTCTGCACTATGCTCTTACTGATAGAATATTTAGGCATAAGAACCTCAACCTTATATCTTTTGATTAGGCATAATGCCTCATTCTCTTCCAACTTGTTAGCAGCCTTTGCCTTTGACTTTTCCTTTGCCTTTGACCTCCCCTTGTCCTTTGACATCCACCTGGGCTGGAAACTGCAACCCTTTTGGTGGTCAGCGCACTTGATGCAGGACTCCTGACCAGGCCTAGTATAGCAATAAAATGCCACAGTTGCAAAATCAGAGGAGCACTGACTACAGGCATACTTAGCCTAGAAAAAAACAAGGTTATTATCAGGAGGTGGCAAAAGAGAAGGAACATACTAGGAGGTCACCAGGAACTAGCCCAGGAGGATCCTCGAAAACCCTACTGGCACTATTCCATTCCTCAGGGGCCTAAACCATCAATATCTGACCATGACCAAGGCCTAGCAAAAGCATGACGCAGCCAGAAGACAGCATTTTTTAACACATAAACTCAATGACAATAGCAGCTGCTAACTTCTTGCCTTTCACATCAGCCAGGGCAGCAGAGGCAACCAGATCCATACTCATTTGGTCTAGGGTGTCAATTGCAGATACAAGCTCCAAATCAGCAGCAAATAGATTGGGACAAGAAGAGTCAGTGAATAGATTGGGACAAGAGAAGGCGGACAGTATAGGACAAGAGGAGGAGGCAGTGGCAGCAGAAGGAGAGGCAGAGGGATAAAAGAGGGGAAGGAGATTGGGAGAGGAGTCCAAGGCAGTGCTCCAATGTGCAAACTCAGCCTTGTCAATAAACCCATTTATTAGCTCATCTACCAGTAAATCCTTGAGGCAAGCACACTTGGCAGTGCACACAGCAGCCTCAGCCTCCAAATGCACCACCTGGGCAGCCTCAGCATTACGTTCAGCTGCCACATGAGCAAGCTCAGCCGCCCACTCCTATTCTTCAGCCTCCACATAATAATGAGCCTTTGCAAATTAAGCAGTGTGTAATGGGAGAATACATGCCCCTTATTCCAGCCAGTCATCTGTTGTGACCAGGTTGAGAGCTGCTTCAGCCTCAGCAATCCAGGGAGCTATGGTGCCATTGTCATCGCCACTAGCGGCATTTGAATAGTAAGTCTGAAAGAAAGGTCAGGACAGGATGCAGCAGAAAAAGAAAAACAACTGACAACTTGCTGGGCAAATGTTCAGGCCCATGCTTTATGATCCTTGGGCTCAGCCACCCCATTAGGTAGCGAAGGTATCAGCTCCACAATCTTTTGCTTTAGTTTGAGAATGATGGATAAAGGCATGCTAGAGGAAAGGTAGTATGGGACAGGCAGCAAAGAGAGACTTGGGTGTTAGAATTAATGGTTAATATGTGACCACAGTCACCTGACTAGTGACCTGTGCCCCTATACTTGGCAGAGGCCACAACACAATTCACCATCTTTTCCTAGCACAACTCTCACGCCATTGTCTAGCTTAGACACTCTAAGACTCAGCTACTTTATCACCTAATTAGTTCCCACTCAGGTTTTCCATGCCACTGCTCTCAGCCAAACATCTTCTTACGCAGTTTACTATGCCACCCAAGCTTTTCCATGCCTTTGCACCATTTTCCATGCCACCAGACTTTGCTGGCACAGCTCTGGTCTTTTTTTACATGCCACAGCTATTCTTTCCATACTATTGCTTGTTGCCAACTCTTTCCCACATCCACATGTCATATACCCTAATTCACGTGCAGTAGTTTCATGCCACTTTTTTCCACTCTGACTCATGGTCACTGACTACTGACTAAGGACAGTCAGGGTTTTAGTAGGGAGGAGATGATAAGCACACACCTATGCTAGGGTTTGAGGGAGGTATTCAGGAAGCTTTGGGGAGATACCAAATAGCACTAGATGAGTATTGAGGACACTGACTTGCACCAAACATAGTTAGTCCCTACCTAACTGACTGCAACCTACTAAAGGATGTTTGGCAACATTTAGATCAGTTTGCCCACACTTCACATACTTACCATAACCACATAGGAGTATTACAATAGGTTTTTATGAGATTAGAGCTAGTATTTTGTGTTGGCTGATGTCCTCCATAAGTTAGTTGGTCCTTATCACTTATCTTCCCAACTTCCACATAGTTGCTCAAATGCAATCTTGCACTATTACTTGGCCACCCTGGTCATACATTACTTTTTCTTTATTTTCATTGGCCCACCAATACCTGTTTTTGCTACCTACACTTGGGCAACAGATCCTGAATGTTTGGGATTTTGCCATTGCTGATTAACTTTTACCTTATCACCTTTGGAGCCCATATGGATATCTCACCTACCTTCTTATCCTCTCTGATTGCTAGGGCTTAGCACTTGTTCAACATCTACTCTTATTTCCTGTTTGATATTTTACTTAAAGGCTCTGTTTACTATAAAAACCTACATACAACTCTGGAATAAACCAGCTTTTGCACCCCATAGTTTAGAGCTTATTTATACTCATTTCAACCATTGAAATCATCTTTGTTAACTTCCAAAAACTTGTCATCCTTTTAATTTAGCCTCATTTGTGCTTATACTTATCTCTTTGCTTATATCCCTTGTTCTCCCTTGTATATTGTCAGAGTCCTATGTGGCTTTTGAAGCACATAGTTATTGGTTATACCTTCTTGTCACCAATCAACTCTTCAACCCAGCTTAACTGACCAAATATTTAGTCAGTATTTGGTGCAGTCCTAACACTATTTGGGCACTTTAATCTTACCCTCCTCATTACGCTTTAGTGTACCCTTGCTTTCTCAAGTCCTAACTAACAATTCCTTGTGTATTAGATACTAGCTCCAGTACTCATGCATTAGAGGTTGTTTTGGTGTTGTGCTCAGTACTTAAAGCTACCTCTAGCATATAACCATGCTTCTAAATGTCTGTCTACAGTGATAACAAATCATGATTAATAGTAGTAAGCAGCATAGAATAAGAAGAAATCTGATGAGTCAGAATATTTACCATTTATATGCTAATGCATGAATACTTATGATATTATGAGTCCGAGTCATATGTATATCTCATGACTATGTCCTGAGTCACATGCCTAGATGTGTGTCAAGCCACAGTCCTAGTTGTCAATGTCTAAGTCCTGATTAAGACACCTAATTTTCCTTTTTGTCTATATGCAAAGCACATGTTAGGACATAGTCCTAACACTACCCCCTCTTTTACACTCATTGTTGGCACGTGACATTTGTGTGGTTGGGAGTTCCTAGAGGTGGGTTGTGTCAATAGTGGGAATATGGTGTCTTAGGTGTCCTTCCCAGTTGGCATTGTTGATCATCCTCTCTTGTATTTGTTAGTAATACCCAAAATCCTCTGCCATATGGTTTATCTGTATCTAAAAAAAATCAACCACTTTATAGTATGCATTATAGTTGCATATGAAGTTTCAGGCAGTGACATCAGGGCAGTGGCAAATGCATGTGATCAGTGTTGGTGGCTGACTGATGACCTGAGGTCAGCGAAAGGTTGAGGCTCTAACCTGACCAGAGGTCCGACCTGGGTCTTGACCTAGTCTGACCGAGTTGGTAGAATAAAATTTGAAATTACAAGCATGCACATAATTTTGTATCAATCACTTTGAGCACCCCATCTCCTTCCTGCTACTTGGGTGTCGACCACCATGACCCTGCCTGAAGAGCTTTCTGCACCACCAAATGGCCAAAGCTCCCTTTGGGCCTACTTTCATAAGTTCAAGGGATGGAACTACAAGGACAACCAAACCCATAAGGCGGCATGGTGCAAAGCTTATGTAAAAAGCAAGTGTCAAGAGATACAACAGGCAGACGAAGTAGCAGCTACACGAGGGGGGATAGAAAATGTTCGTACTATAGATGATTTGTTCGAGCTAGGTGTGTTGCAAGCAGTCTTTGTGTGATGATTTCAGACAAGCTGACATGGCCTACCTGATTAGCTGTAAAAAGCATTGAACCAATATGTGGCAAGCTGGGCAGAATGTTAACTCACCTAAAGAAATGCAAGACTATTGATGGAAAGGACCTCGAGGAGGCACAGGAGAAACGAAAGGCTGAACTTGAGTTTTCTCAGCCTAGCGCACAGCAGAACCTGACATCACCTGACTCCAATGTGCACTCACACAGTAAAACAAAGAGTGCCGGTCCCCCTTCATATCCGATAATTCAATCTTGCAACTCACATCAGATAGGGGATGACTCACCGTACAATCAGCAGAAGACAGATTACCAGGGCTTGTTAGAGAGCGAGATGCAGGGCGAGTTCTCGAAAGACTTCACTCGACTTCTGGTTGCAAACGGGGTGGCTTGGTATGTTACGGAGAATCCTGAGACAAAGGCATTTGTGAACAAGTGGTGCCCGAAGATAGTTCACATACCTCATCGACAGTTATTGGCTGGCCCGCTGTTGGATAAAGCAGTTGAGATGGCAGTGGGGAAGGTACAGGCTCGGGTCAAGGGTGGGCTGGCAATGGGTGAGTGTGATGGATGGACACATGGGTCAAAGACTCCAATTGAGACTTCGATGATGACAGTGGCAAACGAGGTGAGATTGGACAGACTAGATGGTGGTACAAAAGCTAATGAACCTTGGCATTATTCTCTTCAATAGCACTACCTTGTTTGCACACATGATCTGTCAGGCCAGCCAAAGACAGGTGACAATCTATATGCAATAATAAAATCTGACAAGCAGTACATCGAGGATACATACCTTGTCGAAATTATTGCGTGGATTACAGACGATGGGCCAGATGGAAAGAAGGCACATCGTCTTCTGCATCAGGACCACCCTTGGATCATCGTGTCCGTATGTTGGGCCCACCAAATCAATCTTATCGTTGGTGACTACTTGAAACAAAACCCAATGCTCAAGCTTTATGTCAACCAAGCCATTAAGGTCATCAAATGGTTTCGAGATCATGACTTACCCTGTCAATGGCTCAATCAAGAACAGCTTCTTGATCACCCCCATGCTTTAGCCCTTGTCCTTCCCGTTATCACTTGCTGGATGTACCACTACCTCTCGATATCTCGTCTTCTTACGGTCTCAGGGCCGTTGCGGGCTTTGTGCATGAGGCGAGAGAATGATATCCTGAACTGTGCAGGATAAGAGAATGAGGCAAAGCAGAGGGTAGAGGAGGTGATGGGCATTGTGGAGGACCCTGAGTTCTGGGATCAGATCTGCTGGTACGTCTGTTTGATCTCTCTAATCCCTTCTTAGCTGACATCTGACCCTGTGTGCAGTGTTCAGGCACACCTTGAGCCCCTGGCCATTGCAAACAACATTGCTCAAGCTTCGTATACCCGATTTGACCACATACTCCTCACTCTCGGCAATCTCTTCCATGTATATGGCGATCACAAACTTGATGCACTTGTTCGTGCCAGCCTACAGAATAGTTTGGAGAAGCACTGGCGAGCTGCAGATCAACAAGCAGCAATCTTCACAACATGGGCGAACCCATACATCTGGGGTCGACCATTTAACGGCAACATCCTTCTTCAGGCCTTATTAGTTCGCATTGCAATGGATCTCTTCAAGCGGGTATATGGAAGGGAGGCAAACTTAGATTTCTGGAAGGCATGTACTGAGTATCACCATTGCCAAGGTCGGTTTTCGGATGAGAACATGGCTCTTTCATTTGTACAACAGGCTTGCAAGAAAGAGGTGCGTAGAGTTGTGTCTTTGTGCAAGGCTTGCTTACAGCCTCTGCATTTGGGGAATTGTTTCTTACTCTCTCACAAAGGGCAAGGAGTTGGATGTTGTCCGAGTATGGCATGCTCTTGAAGATGAGAAGGCAGGCCCCGACTTTAACGGTCACCAAGGCCTTATCAAGCTTGCAATTCGTCTTCTCAGTATCATTGTCAACTCTGCGGGATCGGAACGCAGTTTCACAAAGTTCGGTAACATACATACCAAACTCCACAACCGCCAATCCACCTCTTCGATGCACAAGATCACGACTGTACACATAGACATTGAACGTGACCATGCCAACTCGAAACACCAACGGCTCAAGCGCAAGTTCAGTGATGTTGATGGCAAAGAGTCCACTGATCCAACAACTACCCCGAAATCATCATTCTCTATCCTCAATGAGATGCTGCCCCTGTCGGCCAATCTTCCCCTCGAGCCTGAGGAGGGCGCGGAGGACATCGGAGTCATTGCTGATGGGCTTTGTGATAATATTGAGGCTTGTGAAGCAGTCGAAGTCGACAGTCACGGCAATACTGCGACTGCGACCCCCTCTTTCAAGCCCATCAAGCTGTGCGATCTTTTCGCTTATCCAGTGTTGACCACTGATTCTGGTGAGCACTCCAACTCGTCGCTTGGATTCTTTTGGAAGAGTGGTGTTAGGAATGTTGAGCTTGAGATGGACTTACATGCGAAACTTTGTGGAGAGGACTAAGAATGTTGTCTGGCTTCATTATTGTACTCATTATATGGACTGTATGATATTTCTCATTTACTTTACCTTTCACAATGGTGATAGGCTGAATCCTGTTGCAACAATCTTATTTGTTTCCCTCGAGTATAGTGAAGGTCAGCCCATGGTCAAGGAGAGCTTGACTGACCCAAGCTCCGGCCGGACCTATCGGTCTGACCTGGGTCTGACCTGGGTCTGACCGGGTCAGTCACCAACACTGCATGTGATAGGGCAGTCAGCAATAAGGTGTCTCTGTTAGTTGCACTCCTAACAGACTTGGGTTTCTTCAGTGGGTGGTGGTAGTATAAGGGGAGGAGGTAAGAGCAGGGGAGCCAAGAGTAAAGGCCAAACTTGTTCTGAGGCACATGCGCCACTCCACCAGTTATTTAGCATGGGTGGTGGTGCCAGTTGTGGCAACAGCATGTCAACCATGTACAATACTGCATATTCATGCACTACTTGTTCCAGGTTGTATAGAGGACTAGTGGGGTGAGAAATGGGTTGACCTACATTATCAAAGTTAGGAATGGGAGGGAGTCAGTTCCTAGGGAAAGGGTCTGCATAGGGGTAGGGGAGAGCATTGTAAATGTCAGTCATGGGGAGGGTGCAGAAGGGCTTTGGCACTAGAAGGGAAAGCAGGAATAGGAAAGCGGTACTGTTGAGGAAGAGTGAGAGTAAAGAGGAAGTTATATTGCTAAAGAAGAAAGGCTGTTGGAAAAGTTGAGGAGAGGGTTGGGTCTTGATGACTGTCCATTTATAAGTTTCCTTTGAGTTTGAGCAAGTAACAATAATAGTGCTGCAAAGGCTTGGATTGGGGTAAGGATGGTAGGATTGGCAAGGATCATGTATCAGGCAGTATCTGTCTTGGTAGTTTATTGGTGATTTACAGCCATTTGCCTGGCTATGCCAAACTGTAGTTCATCTGCCTTTGCAGCTCTTGGTAAGCTTGGGTGCACTAATTTGGGCTATTTGTCAGTTTGTGTTTGGGCTCTAAGAGCTTTCCTCCTTGGCCTTATTCAATGAAGTGTCTGTAGTTGCCTTCTTGTCTTCTTGGTAGTCTGTTTGTGGCACCAAATCTAGGGTGCTATTCAATACAGTGGAGCATTTCTTGGATCAAGTGATCTATTTGTTGACTTTTTTTTATAATCCAAGGGACCTTCAATCCTGTGGATAGAAGCTTCTTCCTGATTGGGTGATTTTGGAGTTTTTTTTTGAGTTTGGCTTCTTCTAGTTTCTTGGCTTGTTTTTCTGCTGCTTCCATTATCTATAGCACTTTGAATCTTGTAGCAATAAGCTTTCTTCCAATGGGGAGTCCTAGGAGTCTCCTCTTAAGTTGATCTTTTTTGATCTGATTGTTTAGGGCTTCTTTGATCTGTGGAATTTTTGATACTATAGATAGGAGCTTTTTTCTGATTGGGCGTGTTTGAAGCTTCTTCTTGATCTAATCTTCTTCAACAGCTTGATTATACTTCAGTTCAATCATTAAGGCTAAGATTGATGCTTCTATTCCTTTAACTACAGAGAGGTGTTTACAATAAAACTCCATGATAGCTTCTTTAGTATTAGTGACATCTGGAAAACCCCCCCTTTGTATTAACCTCTAATGAGTTCCATTTATGCATAATTAAGAATGATGAGGATTAGACATTTTAAGCTTACCCCCCTCTAAACCTGTTCTAATTAGACATAATTTACCTAAATTAGGAATTATTAGGATTGATTATAACTTGAAATTTCGGAAAAATCATAATAAATCAAGCATCACAGTTCTCGTAGCCTTCTTATAGAGTCATGTCTATTAGAGCACTAGTTAAATACCTAAACACAGAATATACCTTATAACAAACTTGCCTTCTGCCAGAGTTGAACCAATAACCTCATGTATGCAAGCACCCAGGACAGATGCTCTAAGCTACTAAGCCACAAGGTCTAATATATAAACTTGGTGGTCTAAGTAAGTGGGCGTAATATAGGCAACCTCAGCATCTCTGATTTTATTTAACATTTATATTTCTTCTATCTTATAAATAAATAAGTCAATAAATACCTAAAAAGTCAGGTCTTTCAGGATTTAGTTTAAACACCAGCTAAGAAGATAATAAACTAATGGAAAATTGATAATACACTTTATATAGGATAAAAATAAATTATGGCACTTATACAATTTGGACTGAGAATGTGTAAAACTATGATTGAGTGTAATATTCAATGGGACTCTACTAGTATAGACAATGCTACCTGAATTTGCAAATTTGATCAAAAACATGATTATGAATAATCAAGATCCAATAAGAGAGAGGGGTTTTCCAAATAGCCACTAGTAAGGTAGAGGGTAGAGACAAGAGTATATATATGGCATGCTTATATATAAATAAGCACAAGATTGTTGGAGGTGAACTTGGTGAACTTAATATGCTTAATGCATATATTTCCTATATAGCAGGCAAATATATTATTCTAGCACCACATACCAATATGACTGTCTTTTCCATAGCCTAATAGCTAGAGGAAAACACCAAGTTTGAGCATCTTCTGTATAATAAGGCAATAAACAATATAAATAGTGCTAAAAATTGTAATATCAATAGTGATGATAATTGTGTGCTGCACAAGACAGTATTAGCCACTATACTAATATACAAGGTCTATAAGGCTGCATATAGTATATCCCTAAGTCCAACCCACATGTTGTGTCCTATAATGACCAGTAGCAGGCATTGGCTAACAATGACAACTTTAATGATCTTGTGTGCAAGGACAAGGTACCTAGGTCTTCATAGCCTCCTGTGGCAGCTGCCAAGCTGCCAACAAAGTGGCTGGGGGCATCAATGCACATTTTTCTCTTTTGATATCCCTTATAAAAGCAGCTGGAAAGTCAGCAAAAAAGCTACAAGATAATGGTATAGGCATATATGAAGGAGAGTAATATGCTGAAATAGTATAGAATGTGCCATATCTTTACCTTCTCACTGATAGAGCAGTAGTACTTACTATTTTCTACTAATAATTAAAGACTACTTAGTATAGAATTAGTGCTAATATCATGAAATTAGAAACCAATCCAATGCTCACAATGTATTGCTCCCAATTAATAAATTAGACACTTTTACATACTATTAACACTTTTAGATACTATTAACACTTTTAGATACTTTTAGACACTATTAGATATAATCCGGAGCTAATACAAGGGGGTGTTTTTCTAGATGGATGTTTGCTGCTAATTCCAAAGAGTTATCTGATTTAGGATAGCCCTTCTATTTGATCAGGTACTGTAGGGTCTTCAATCATCCAAAGTGTTGGGCTCTGATAATCTTCTCAACTTCAAATTCTTCTTGCCCTTTAATTAGGTCTAGGGCCAGTTTAGAGTAGTTGGGGCCATAGACTTTGTTCTCTTTATAGGGTGTAAGTCAACTAGCATAGAAGACATTGTGGATACACTGCCAGCTGTGTGGCAGTTTCAGTTTAAAGTTAACTGTTCCAATAGTGTTAGTTTCAAATGGCCCAAAGCATTTGGGCCTTAGTTTCTCCAAAGGGTGGTCGGTGTGGATGTGTTTTCCATCTAGCCATACATGGTCTCTCTTCTTGAAGGGTGGTAGTTCCATTCCAAAATGGTTATGCTGTATCCTCATGGCTTCAGCTGTGATTTTGAGGCTGGCTTGTGCTTTTTTCCTAGCATATTGTAGAGCTTTGAGATAAGCATTGGTGGTAGGGACATTTATATTTCCTATGATAGCTAGATATGCTCTTAGCTGGTATCTATATGGAAGTTCAAATGGTGATTTCTTTGTGGCTGAGTGCTGATGTATATTATGGGCATATTCTGCATAGGAGATCAGGGTTGCCCAGTCATCCTGTAATAAGTTGCAAAAGGCTCTAAGATATTGTTCCAGTTCTTGATTCATTTGTTCAGTAGTGTCATCTGTCTATGGATAGTAGGCTATATTAAGTGCTGATTTGATTTTAAGTTTTTTGAGTAGGGCTTGTGCCACTTTTGACACAAATTGTATTCCCCTATTTGATATGATTTTGTCAGGTAGTCCATATCTTCTCCAGGTGTGATCTAATAGTAGTTGGGCTGTTCTATCTAAGTTGATGGTTTTCAGACATAGTGTGATTATCACTGCTTTAGTGAATCTGTCTGTTACTACATGGAGTGAGTCAAATCCTTTTGACTAGGGTAGGTCTGTGATAAAGTCCATAGTGATCATTCTAAAGGGTTAGTCTGGAATTTCTGTTGGTTGGAGGGGGACCATTGCCAGGTATGTATCATTCTTGGTAAATTGGCAGGTTGCACATCCTTCTACATATTAGTGGACTATGTTTGATATTCCCGGCTAAGTAAATTCTTGTCCAACTGAGGGCTAGAGTTCTTCTTTGTCCTGGATGTCTTGCCGCTAGATTATTGTGATTCATCTTGATTATTTCTCAATAAATTTGTTTATCTTAAGAAACATAGGTTTTTTCTCTGTGTGGGACAAGTCAATTTTTGTTGTTCCATTCTTGTAGTCCTTTCTTCATACTGTGAGGACCTAGTTCCTTGACCTTGGTTAGGGTTTTGATTAACCACTTGTCTTTCTGGTTTGCTTCTATGATTCATTTCTTGAGGTCTTTGTTAATCAAAGTAACATCTCCCTGTCCTGTGGCTCTGATATGCCATAACCTGTGGGGGTCTAGTTTTTCTGTAGTGATTTCATTGATGTTTGCAAAAAGATTGGGTTCCAAGAGCATTTTGCCTAAATTGTTAAATTCTACCCCCACTTTATGGTCTGGATGCTACAACAAACCATCAGATTTATTGGTGACTCCCGCCTTATACATCAATTTATGGTCAAAATGCAAGAGAAAGAGCGACCATCAAGCTTGCCAATGGTTCAACTTTTGGCTTGAATGGAACCATTCTAGGTTTTTGTGGTCCATCCAGACATCAACTGGGTTCCTGGTGCCCTCCAAATAATGTTGCCAAGCTTCAAAGGCCCAGA